ATATTGCCCCTCCTGGTTCGACTGTAATGCTTAACTGTACCGCTAAAGGTGACCCTCAGCCTGTAATTACTTGGGCAAAAGACAACGGGMTGCTTCCTCTTGCAAGATATGAAATGAGAGATGGCTCTTTGATTATAAGGAACGTCAAGAAAACAGATTCGGGTGTGTTTGTGTGCACTGCTACGAGTGCTGGTGTGTTTCACACAGAATCTAGAACAACGTTGACTGTACAACATGTAAAGGAGGATTGCTCAGAGCTTTACAAATCAGGAGAGAGACATAGCGGTGTGTACACAGTTAAACCAGACAATCAGCCTGCATTTCAAGTCTACTGTGACATGACAACTGATGGTGGAGGTTGGACTGTGATCCAAAGAAGACAAGATGGATCGGTTGATTTCTATCGCGATTGGCAGCAATACAAAACAGTTTTTGGAAACCTAAATGGCGAGTTTTGGTTGGGTAACGATTACATCCATCGACTGACAGCAAGAACAGCGTCGAGTCTGCGCGTTGAGTTGGAGGACTGGGACGGAACCAGGAAATATGCCAAATATAGTAGTTTTAGTGTTGGYGATGAATCAGACAAGTACAGGCTGAGGGTTGGCWCGTATTCAGGTACTGCTGGGGACTCGTTAKCATATCATAAYAACATGGCGTTTAGTACWAAAGATAGAGATAACGACAAGWRKAGTGGTGGTAACTGTGCTWCAKKWAATAWCGGTGCCTGGTGGTATGATWATTGTCATTATTCTAATCTRAATGGARAGTATCTTGGAAACAAGGTGTCATATCTTGGAATGACGTGGTACCATTTTCATGGCAAATATCAAARTTTGAAAACTTCCAGCATGAAGATACGTGCAAATAACTTTTAACAAGATGAACACTTGTAAGGGTTTCTTTACATTTTTAAATATCATGAAAAATTGTTTTAACTSGAGTTTTTTCAAATTTCATTTACATGTATTATGAATTGAGCGCTGGTTTTTGTTTTTGATGTTTTATAATCGACTTGCGATTGAATGTGAAGACGGATCTAATAGCGTCCTAATACACTTGAAAGTCTTGATATT